TTTTTTTTTTTTTTTTAAGATTAAATTTTCGTTATTATTAAATAAATAAATATTTTCAGATTTGTATGAACGAGTGACAAAATTGAAAGAGTCAAGAGTATTATTAGCTATAGGAGGATGGACAGATAGCACTGGTGATAAATATTCTCGTTTAGTTAGTAGCGGTATTATTCGTCGCAAGTTCGTTTCAGCTACGATAAACTTCTTAAAGAAGCATAACTTCGATGGTCTCTCCTTCGAATGGAATTATCCGAAATGCTGGCAAAGCAATTGTAAAAAAGGACCGGATACCGACAAACCCAATTTCACCAAATTGATCCAGGAATTGAAAAATGCGTTTGACCAACAAGAACCAAAGTTAACACTTGCTGTAGCCTTTTCCGGCTACAAAGAGGTGATCGATAGAGCTTATGAAGTGCGAGAAATCTCAAAAGTAGCGGATTTTATATCTGTAATGACGTACGATTATCATGGTGCTTGGGAGTCAAAAACGGGACATTTGTCACCTTTGTTTGGAAACGCTGGCGACGTTAATCCGTACTACAACATCGTGAGTTTAGCAATACATTATATTTTAATAAAAAAACAAGAGAAATTATTAAAAATTTTTTCTTTATAGAATTCTACAATGGAATACTTAGTTAATCTTGGAGCAGAAAAGTCGAAACTTCTGGTAGGGATACCTTTATATGGACAGGCTTATCGATTATCCAGTGAAAATCTGGCAAATCTTGGTGACCCGACAACTGGTCCTGGAACTGCTGGAGAATTTACAAAGCAACCTGGAATGCTGGCATATTATGAAATTTGTGATAGAATCAAATACAAGGGTTGGAAAACTGGTTTAGGTGAAAAATCTAATAAAAAAAAAAAAATCACTTTTCTATTTTTTCCATGAAATGATTTTAAATGATCTTAAACATTTTTTAGGTCCAAGTGCTTACCTCAGAGACCAATGGGTGGGCTACGATGATCGGGAAAGTGTCTACGCGAAAGGGGAATACATTTTACAAAGTGGTTATGGAGGTGCAACACTGTGGACTGTAGACTTGGACGATTTCTTAAATCGTTGTTGTTCAGAGTCGTTCCCACTATTAAAGAGTATAAATCGTGCGTTAGGTAAATGAATCATTAGATATATTCTCGATATTTTCTTTAAATTTAAAGAAATTACGTGACTTATTAGTACATTTGTCATTATATTTATATTATTGCAGGTCGTTTAAAAAACAAGGAATTTTCTGAAGGATGCCAACGACCAGCAGAACCAATTACACCGCAACCTCCAACGTTGACAACTCACAGTGATGCCGTGGAAGAGACTCCACGGCCAACCACACCGATGACTAAACCAACCATGTGGCCAACGTGGACTGAAAAGCCAAGCACAAGCACTCAGCATACGAGTACAACCTGGCCCACTTGGACTTGGAAACCAAGCAAAAAACCAGATACAACGACTATGAGCAGTACTACAATCTCTTCGACCCAATCCACCAACACGTGGACTTCAACCAAGTATTAAATCTTAAGTTTCGCATAAATAAATAAATATTATTCATTATTATTAATAATGTTATATAATAATAAAACTCGTAAGTTTTTTAAAATATATTTTTTTGTTTTACCATAAAAAAAAAAAAATTGAAGAAAGCCATCAACGGTGGAATTAACGGAAAAACCAACGGATTCTTCAAAGCCGGGAACATCGTGTATGATAGGAGAATATGTACCAGACCCTGAAAGTTGTAAAAACTACTTTAGATGCGTGCTCGGCGAATTGCAGCGCGAACAATGCGCGCCCGGATTGCATTGGGATGCAAGACGAAGCATTTGCGATTGGCCAGCTGCAGCGAAATGTCAAGTGGAAACTGGTAAGACTGCTTTATCTTCATTGTCTATATATATATATATATATATTTGTTCATCGAAGAAATATTTTTTTAATTTAAAAAACAGAGAACGTAGGTATGTTAGATATTTTTTTTTATTATTACTATTACTATTATATAATAATTATATAATAGTATCTTTTTATTACACATTACGCTAAATTCTTCCTTTATTATTAATTGACTTTCATTTTTAAAATTAAACGTCATTAATATTTTGAATTTTATGTTGAAATGTACAAATAATGAATAATTATATTACACGGAAAACTCATTTCCTGATTTTAATATAATAATTCTATAGTAATTTCTTCAGGAGTTGTCGTTAACAGATATATCGGTTCATTGGCAATAACGTAAACCTGTTTATTCGCGCGTGGCAATAATCAT